ACGAGCTTACTGTGCAGCACTTCGCTCCGTTCTACTTTATGCGTGTGAAACATAGCCATTAGAAGTAGATCATGTTCGTGGGTTACTGGCATTCGATCATAGATGTCTTCAAAGCATTACTCGTGTATTTTAGGACCACTGAGTAAGTAATGTTTGGGTTAGAGATAGGAGTAGGGTACTAGGTAATGATGGGCAAATCGATTGAAGAGGTGATAAATCTTCATCAAATGAAGTTGTTCAGCCAGGCGTCACATATGCCCAACCACCGTTTACCTCGACAGGCGACGTTTTCTGGTATAGGAGTGGGCTAGAAGAAAGCTAGGGGCGATCAAACCGAAGCTTGAGATCAGTTTATGAAGTCGTTGACAACTGGATTGAGCCATGTTAATAATTGTGTATTACGTGGTTGAGGTCCGCGTGATGACTATCGTAACCAGCGGTTAGAGACTGAATGACACAGCTCAAAATTGTTTGCAATGGCTCAGGTGCATCTATTCTTTGTCTTCCCTTAGATTTCAAGCTTCTAAATCCCTCGTAGTTTTTTTACTTCACCAATTTATATGTTCTTGAATCGTACGTTCGATGCCTAGTCTTTTCTATTAGCATTAAAGCTGTTACTACCTTTAGTACTCTTGGATTCGCCCTGACAATATCATCTCTCAGTGTTAATGGCTTTTAGGGAATTGAACCGATGTACATACGTACGAGGTTCTATGTTATGACGGATATATCCTTAGCGTCAAATTAATAATACTCATATGAAACTAATTCATTCACTGGAAACAGTTAGCAATAATAATCCTAATGTGTGTGTCACTGAATATATCTTTTTGGGAATTTAGTCCCTTGTTATGTGATCCTTGTACACCTGTTAGTTTCTCCTAATATATTTCCACATATGATCTTACCAAAAGTTTTTATTATAGTTATTAATAATTAAGAATGTCCCTTGTCTCCTTAACCTATTTTTATTTATTACTTTAATGTTCTTAAAGTTTAACAATGAAATAAGTTCATATAATTAATTACTGATTTTCTTCTGCAAAATCGACATTTTTAAAAATGTGAATTCATATCTGATACGTGTTTGCATGTACACGTAACCATAATTTCCTAATATTATCTTCTAATCTTAGTTATTCTGATCTATCTTCTTAGAACTGATAATTTCCTTCAGTTAATTGATTTCATTATCGTTATTTAACATTACCGTTTTTATTTTATCGAGATTTTTTCTTTTCTAAAAGTTAATAGCATATTTATTGAAACATCATTAAAAATTATGAAATACTAAACTAGTGTATTGGAACTATGAAACCATCTAATTTACATCATCATTGAAAATTCGGAAGCACTAAACGGCTATTTCATTGTAGCATGGGACTCTTCGACAGTGCTCATCCACGTGTTTGCAAACAGGAGTCGAACCGAGGACTTTCGGTCTTGCGTGCTAACGCCTAACCTCTAGACCACTGGCTCAGCATCCAATGGTATTAGTGCTGAACATCGATCAACCTTGAGGTTATGCGTTCGCATTTGACAAACCATGTTCTGATTTCTGCGTGCGGGTTCGTAGTTGCGCATTCCTTAGGAGTTCTATACTAGGCCAAAACGGCCATCCAGTGCTTCCAGTTCTACAATGATCGTCTAACTTGAATCGGTCCATGATTTCAATGAAATTCAACAGTTTCCAAAATACTATACTGACTCAACTGTTGTTTAGTTTTCCATAACCAATACTTGGATACGAACATCTATGTACGATAACGACAGAAACCACTAAATAATCACATTCGGTTATAACTAAGATTTTTCAGTATTAACTAGTTTCTTATGAACTGTTGTTATAAAGTAAGTCTTTGCAAATATAATTCAGTTGTTTTGTACACCACTTTATTATTCAAACAATCCATTAATTTTGAACCACTTTTGAAGAATTCCCAGTTAAGTAGGACAACAAGCAAGTTTAATATATTTTTTTGGTCTTTATCTTTAACGATCCTTCAATTATTACCACTTTGAGATGATAAAAATTAATAACGATAATCTTAAAACAGTTATCTAAAATTCATAATGATGATTTCTACAAATCCTAACGTGTTAGCTTATATCTATCTGAATTTTACTCATCAATTTCGTTGCAGATATCAAATGCTTTAAATTCAGCTGTATCGGTGGTTACCTCAAATTTCGTCACACCATTATTATCATCCTCGTCGTTGTCAGTGCCATCATCATCGGTATCATCTTCAGACTCAATCAGAACAGTAAATGAAAGTAACGAAGATCCTCCTAGTACCACATGAATCACTATTCTTTCTTTGTTCGATTTTTCCTTTGCAACATCTTTTTTATTTATTTTGTTGTTGTTTTATTTTTCTTTATGATCAATATGTCGTAGTAGAATTAACGATACAATAAATTTAATGAGCAAAAAATGTTCGTTTATCTTTTTAACTTCTTCGAGATCATCAAATAAGTAAATCTATCAAATATATACATTTAAATTGTAATATTTATATATTATAACATTGCTATTATGAATTGTCTTCTTTGTGTGTATCCTTCACCTTCAAACAGTAATGATGATAATTGTTTGATCGACTAATTTAGTTAATTCATTCCATTCAGTTTTTTTAATGAAGATTCCTACCATTACCTACATATAGATAATTGTTTTCTATTGAATTAAAAATATATTTTAGATCAGTACATAGAATACAATTTTCTTATTGTCAGTATTCTAGATCGTGAATTTATCTGATTTTTCTTTTTCTCAACTTTCACACCGTTGTTGTTGATGATGGTGGTGTTGCTGTTATTTTATTCAGAAATCGGTTATACTATTTGTCAAATTGTAGTAAACTTGGGTGATACCGTAGATCAATATTCCATTGTATAGTTCCTCATTGTTTTTTATCTTTCTGACATTTTATGGTGGTAGATATTTTGAAATCCGGTTAAAGTAATACTCGTAGTAAACCCCTACTGAAGATGATATCTAAAGTGTTGTTGAAACCTCTCTTAATGATGAGTCAGTCTTCAAAACCAGTTGAACGAAAAACAGTAAGGATGGATAGGTCTGTTACAACAAGGAATAAGCTGTATTACATATACCAGATTGTGTTATCAAAATAACAAACTAAATCACCATTATCAAAATATCAGCTGAAATAATAAGATTTCCACTATATTTCTCTTTGTTTTCATGTACCCACTGAAAAGTTTGTCATAATACCACTTGATGGGGTTCGAGAACTGTGAAGAAACGGAATTTTTATTTATTGGTACTATGTCATCTGTACACTTCATATAGAAAATAATGTCAATAAAAAATCAATGTCAAAAAATAAGACAATTTGAGTGATCATCTGAGTAGTTAGTGATATGGAATATAAAAACATGTTCATAGTACTCAATTTCTGAACTAAAATGCTTTTAGAAATTAAATTAATTAAATAGTCCAAGATTACTGAGTTCAGGTTTTTCTTACCTTTTTATTTGATTGATTCAATAATATTACACATATGTGTAAAATGTCTTTTAAATAGATAAACTCAATTTGTATTTATCAGGTGACTTTATATGTCTAAAATTAGTTAAGTCATCTATAAGTAGATTTGCTTTGTTTAAAACTGAATTTGAAAGTTATTCTTTGTTCATCCCAGTTGCTTGTAAACAATGTATATTTATATGGGGGGAGCACGAACTAGGCCTATGAATTAGATCTTAGTTGATCGGAGAATGAGTGACGTACAAACTAATTTCCTCTGATCACCCATAACATTCTTATCTGTATTTTCGTCTTTGATTCATAATCATTTGGGAGCTTGCGTCAACAAGACGGTCTAGTGCACACTTTTCACATGGCCACACGTGTAATTGCACATCATCGATGAATCAGTATTATGCTCATTGATTATGACAGTCAGAAATTCATTCTTACAATTGTGATCCATAAAAAGCACAAATGTGGACCGGCCCATAGTGATACAACAATGACCATCAAACCAATAAGCTCAAGACACGAAATCAAATCCAGTGAGGTTAAAATGATCATACTGGTAGTAATGTTAAACTAAAATCAAGGAGTATGGTTCATGAAGAACGGATGAGAAGTACGTAATCATATTAAACTCAAGTTCAGTTACGCACACCCACCATAATTCAGCTGATTTTAAATCATTTCATTTATTTCCAATCATGCAGTATGATTATCTTGATGACTGCGACCAAAACGTTTGGGTATCGCTACACGGCTTAGATCAAGAAACAATGGCTTCATGAATTGTCGCTACGTCATATCTCACTTTGGATATCTCTGGCCTATTAGTCGACAGACGCTCTAAACTACATCAACCGACTAAGTGATCTACAACCTAACCAAAACTATTCACTCACCCATCCCACTTTATTTGAACAATGTTTCGAAGGCAGTATATATATAAATTCCTAAGAAGTTATTTTTATAAATCATAATTGCATTAGAAATGAAGTACACCAATTTTAAATTCGCTGTCAAAAGTTTACTTACTATATTAACTGGACAACAGCATCGATTTCTGCAACATACTACGACCTCCTTGTACATAACATTTCTACTCAGTAACAAACAACATTAGGCACATGTAGACTACATTATCATCAATCCACAAATATCTAAGCTACCTTCCGATTATTTTTTTTATAACAGAACTAATAAGCATTAATTTAAAGGTCAGCAAAAATTTCTATTAAATGCATAAAATTGATATAGCCGAAAAAAGTAACAAATAACTTGATCTATGAAATTGATCAAATTTACTAAATCCCCATGAAAAAAACCAGAGTAAAGGACTTTTAATTGTACAGGGTAATTTCAATTAAGGTAAATGCAACTCAATGTGAATAAAAGCGGTTAATAAAATAAAGTATAAAACATGGTACAAATAAGTGATTTTCTGAAATGTCTATCATAATAAAAGGACTGTAAATATTAGAGCAAAAAAAAGTATTCGAAGTTAAGCGCCAAATTTTGGGCGAATTTTATCAAAATTAATTTTTTCTTTATACAATGCAGAAAATTTTGAAAGTGGTTGGTGTGAAAACTGTCCTTGGAGAGCACTGAGTATTGTATGAAATTCTGTACGAACAAAGTTGTAAAACTCTTGTTCAGCTTGCCAAATCGGATTGTCTTGATATATTTTAGTTGTTGCTTTACTAATTGGCAATTTATAATTTGTGCGTCTTAGATGCCATTTATCCTTTGAACGAGATATTAGATTATGAGCACCGGTAAAGAATGATGGTAAAAGTATTTCTAGCAAGTCGACAAATTTATCAAATTCTTCTGTCAGGCCAACAATAAGATAATCTTCAATCACACGACGTTTAGCAGTTTCTACAGCAACTGGATTACCAGGGATTCTGCAATACGCTGCTTGTCCGCAGAAAAACGGTACCTTAAAAATTTATAAATACAGTGAATCGATAGAAGGTTAAAATTTTAGATAGTATACGTTTGTCTACTAGTCACTTCATTCAAGCATGTGTTTAATAAAGTTAAGACTACATATGACTGAATATGTCTCATTATCTACATTTTTGACGCATAGTGCTAGTTTTTATCCTATTCTGAATATTTTTCCTATTAACAGATTCAGAATCAACTAAACTCATGAGTTGTGAGCTACTTAACGTAAATTATAGTCATGCTACAGAATAGCAAACCTTCTGGTGAAAGATATATATTATTCGTTTAACTTTTAGTGCGGCACAAGATTAATTGAAGTATACACACAAAACAATGCTCCATGATGACTTACTAAAAGATATGCTTTGAAGCAAATTCTTGTTAATTTAGATAGCTTATAAATAAGCTTCCTGTTAATATATTTTAATATATGTAACCCGGATTCACTTTAGCAATGCACATTTATAAATTGACCGGTCTGAGATTCTACTGTAAATCACATTCACAATAAATGGTATTTTGTAGAGAGCAGGTTTTACACTTAATACAAAGGACGAGACAAAAATGACATTTATTATTATTCAGTGATCAATCGACTGTGCACTGAAGTGTCAAATGAGGAGAACAATGTAAAGGTGATTTATATTAGAACCGACTAACCAGTGAAACTTATGGTATATCAGTACTATCCAACCATGGATTTGGATACAACAGTTTTAACCATTATATAATGAATCAATGGAAATCAAAATAGTAGATATCAGCATTCTATAAAATGCCAATATTCGATCTCCAAATTAACTCACTACTGTTAATAGTTTATCAGCTCTACATGTAACCTTTCACGGTTACTCCCAGTTCCCGGCAAAGGAGAAATGGTGACTATAGGTTTACCAACACCACCTTGCAAAAAAACGCCAAACAGAAAAAAATCATCTAAACACTGCTTTGTTCGAAATGTATTGCGCTAATATATCACATATTTTTGATCATCTTCGTCTCCTTATTATACTATCGAAATATGTGAAACTCAAAAGAACTGTCACACAAGGGCAGAGTCAGTATTGTCAACACTAATGTTAAAACAGTCCTACTGTACGGAGCTGAAAAGCGGGAGACAACCACAAACAGCACCAAAAATCTACTGGCACTTGTGAACAGCTGTCTACACACAATACTCAAGATCCATTGGTCAGAGACAATCAACTAACTGCCATCTGAGGAGATTGGGAAAAGACGCTAGAGGTGAATGGACACACTTTCGAACAAATAGTTTGACAAGCTGAGCGCCAAGCATATAAAGGACATTAAATGTATATATTATATCTGAAACAATTTCAACGATTGAAACGTGAGTAATTTCAAAATTTTACCCAGAAAACTGGTTACAGCCTCTTTAGGGTTATAATTAATCACTGAAATTATTTTAAATGATTTTTCACGTTTAGAAATAAAATTTGTTTGCTTACTTGGACCCATAGAAGTTGTGGACTACAATCACTACCATTTACAAGAACACATTCATCAAATGTTTGGTTGCGAGTCACAATATCAAACATACGTTTACGTATCAGATATGGTCTATAATCATCACCATATCGTAGAAAGTAATAATAAGACACTAATCTGTCTAGTGGATTTCTTATCATATTAATATATATTGGGTTAAACAATGATCCATATTTGATAAAATTTATATAAGCGAAATGCCCATGTATAATCAGTGGATGCATACTGGTCCAATGTGTCAAATTATCTATAAGATATAATTCATTTACACGATTTAAATAATGTTTATTTGAAGAAATGTTCAAGTGTATCACATGTGTATGACTGCAATTCTCTTCAATTAATTGATAGACTAAGTTTATTAAAGATGTGCTACCTGTTTTAGGGATTCTGTTGTAGACAACAACAGGATATGGCTTGATATTACTGTCCGTACCATGAGCATTGTTGTTATTGATGAATGAATAATTATCTGTTTTCGAGAACTGTTTTGCCAACATAAAATAATTTGTATAATGATAATTTAGAAACCATTTATTAGCATAAAAGATAAAAATCAGAAGTGATAAACTACTGAATAATGAAAATAACACAAACAATCGACGATTTAGCAGAGTCCTGATAAAAAAATATGATTAGAAGAGTTGTATGAGTTAAAAATGCATGTGTGTAAATGGGCCGTATATAATACTTATAAATGCAAATGATAAATTATTAATAAATATCTAAAGCTAAGTATATTTTCAATGAATTATTCAGATACCCTAGAAACAATCATGGAAAACCAGGAAGCACTGGACAGTTGCTTTTTATTAGCGTGGGGACTTGACACTATGCACTTAGAAGCCTCAGGTATTGAGGCGAACGTCTAATTTTTAGATCACTGAGCCGAAATCCAATAGCCAGTATGACTAACTTCGATCGATTGGCAATATTGTGTAGTCATGATCCAATAACATTTGCTGGTAAATGTCTCATAACAGATTTTGACAAGGGCTTCCAATAGGTCAAACAAAAATTTTGAAAGGTGTAAAATATGCTAAAAGTATGACTAAATATATATTTCCATAGTTGAATAACAAATTATTATCATTCTCTACGATCAGACTATCATCCAAATGACACTCAATCAATACATAAAGCACAACTAAATTGATTATAATACGTTGCCCTTTGTCGGTTGTCATTAATTTACCTGTCTAATTTACTTAGTCTATACATAATCAACTAATCGGTAGATTTTCTTAGAACTCCAAATAAACATTACGGGTTTATTTTGAAGAATTGTATTCTGTGTTCCCGTATGGACTGTACTCTTCGTAATTTTTATTATAACTTTGTTATTTTATAATCTTGATTTCTATCAGGCCTAACGGAGGGTTCATCGAATTTTTCATGTGGTTGACTCTTTTTTATCGATGAACGCTTGTTGACAAACAAATTGAATAAGCAGTAATTTCCGAATTCCCCCAAAAATGATTTGGGTAGTGATGATACGTACGATGTAGGAATCGTCAGAGATTTATACACACACACACTATAAACTCACTGGATTGCTTTAGCTATTATTAATTATATTCTGAAAATAGGTATCAAGTAAAAGTAATCAAATGTTTAGAAAAAAAGGTGAATAATGAGGTAAATGAACGCAAAGTAAAACTGAACTGATAACAGGCATAATAAGATTAGTATGTACCACTGCATATAGTAGTCACAAATAACAAACAAAAAAGTAGCAAGAACATTCATCTATACAACTTTTGTAAGAACAACTTAAGACCTATTTGTATAACTTTTGCCCCCAAATGCCATGATACGGCTGAGAGTGATGAGAGTCAGCTCTCCCTCTCAAAATGCTCTCACATGGTCACGTATATATAGCCTCTGCCAGGGAAGTCCTACTCACTGCCTTCTCGTGACATCACTGTCGTTTATGAAATCGAAGGGAAAAAAAGCGAATGTCCGGGGCTTTAACCGGGTTGGTGGACATGGAGAGTTCATCTAGGGGAGTTGGAAAACCCTGATTCCAAACCAACGGTGCACATGGGCTCCAGGGTCCTGCTCCAAGGTCCTGAGGGAACAAATGGTGTATAAAACAACTGTTGGTCACCCGAGCAGTACTACAGCTCTCACACAAATCAAATGAGATTTGTGTGGCACATAAGTATTTGGTGCCTCCTTGTACCAATATCTATGTGTTCAAATAAAAAATAATAAACATAATAATAATAACTTTCTAAAAACAGTGACATTAAATAACACCACTGCTGTGATCCAAGTATACTAAGTATTGCTTAAGTGTACACAAATTTTCGCTTTGGTTAAGAATGGTAGACGTTGATCAAATATGTGCTTCATATACATAAGTGAGATTGAGCACTAGTTCTCAATGGCCGCTACAAATCTACATGTAATAAAATATCGGACAACTTCACCTATTTTAACGTATGTGGCCATATCATGAAACTGATGAAGACCTATCGTGAACAAACATCTTAAATGATAGGTAAAAAAAGAATTTAAAAGTTTCATTTTATGGCTAGAAAAGTTCAAAAAACACTAATGTTTGTTAAGGTTTCCAACTTAAAGAACAACGTTGTTTAGACTCCTTTTAAGCCCCTAAATGCCCTGGTACGGCCGAGAGTGGGCTCTCCCTCTCGAAATACTCTCACATGCCTACATGAATACAACCACTGCTAGGGAAGTTCTACTCACTACCTTTTCTCGGCATTACTGTTGTCTAGGAAAAGCGAATGTCCGGGACTTTAACCAGGTTGGTGGGTACGGGAAGTCCACCTACGGGAATTGGAAAACCCTGATTCGAAAACAATGATGTACATGGGCTCCAGTATCCTGAGAAAACAAAGGACGTATGAACCGATTATTGGTCACTGGCTACCATGGGACTGCATCTCCTTACGTTGCCCCAATGTCCTATGGATTAGACCTTCAGGTCAAAGGTTCTGAGTGTGGACCCCTAAGAAAACCACCTGCTTCGCCCTGGGCGCCCGGACAGTATCAAAGCACACACATAAAATGAAATGACGATAATTACTGAAAATACTATTCTCGCCTCGATTAAAAGTCTGACAATTCACATTCACTTTTTATTTTTAACTTTTTAATATACTACGACACTTATCCACTCTCTTTCATTCCCACTTTGGGTATCCTTAATTTTCAAATTATATAGCAACTCGCCTATGGTGAAAACTTTGTTATATCTAAACGATCTCGAGTTACTGACTGGTCGAAAATTGAATGCTACCAACGAATACGAATGCTGAGACTCTTTCTGAAGCCACATATACCATTCAAACTGACTTCCTCCGACGTTCGCACACTAACGCAGATCGGACAACAGGTAGTGTTGGATGTGTCTTTGGAAAGTCTTAATATCGCTGTCTGTTGTCTATCCGAGACCCGTATTCAAGACTCGAGTCTGCAAATTTGTTCTCTATCTTTCACTTCGAAAAGCTTGTTTTATGTGTTTATCCGGAGACCCTGTAACATCGTTTGGTTTTGCTGCCGTTGGTGTCTCACTAGGCCGTAGAGCTGAGGCAGCACTAGTTGATTGGATACACATTAACAGTCGGTTATGTGTTGCTAGATTATAATGTCCCATAAAAAATTCGTTGTGGGAAACAATGTCTTTTCGTCACCTCCGCCAATGCTCTAACAGATTGCAATCTGGATGCGATCAAGGATGAGTTTTACCACCCGCTAGCAGTTCTTCTACAGATCAAAACTATTATTCCGCCGTTATCAGTATGATATACTGTGCTAAATATATACTATGACTGAAACTAACGGTATATTTGGTGAGATCTTTTGCTGAAAAAGAAGCCACATCGTAACCTCACCTTTCAATAACTACCAAGGCATGAACTTTAAACAGCCTTGACACACCGCGCAAGTTCATTTGGCCGCTTTATACTTAATCAATATTGTACCCGCGTCAGTCAGTTTTTTATTCACTAGTTAAACGGTAAGGTCATTCAGATCATGTAAGGTGAAAGAAGTCTTAAGTTACACGAAATTCCCAAACGCTTGCTTCTAAATGTGGATTAGCTGAACTGCTACCACGCTCGTTTCAAAAAGGGCAATGATTTTTGTACTTGTTGTGATTATACTTTCTTTGGGTACCTATTTCACCAAAAAGCATCCTTGGTCTACTTGAACTAAAAGTACTTTGGTTAAAGTTTGAAATTTTTAGATAACTTTTGTCCTGGGTACCTTTTTTATTCCCTGACTAACACTTGTGTTCACATTGTGATCATTTTGTGTTTTTAAACATTTTAAATCAAATGACAATGGCTGGTAAGACTCACAAATGTGGGCAACCAAGTTGTTTGTTCCATGTTGAAAAGGGAATTCAGTGTGACGATTTTAAAAAGTGGTACCACAAAATGTGTACACGCCTATGTCCGACGGCTTACAAAAGATGCTCGAAGCTTAACTCCCATTGACTTTGTATATTCTGCTGTACGGATAAAAAGGTACTAATACAAGAGGCTATGGGCCTATTCTCTTTGGCCTGCAAGAAAAACGCTGGCGGATGCACTGATATTAAGAGCACTGACGGCGAAGAATGTGTCAGTGTAGTAAGTGCTGCTACTGAACCCATTAAACACCTGACTGTGGTTTGTGGGAACGTGGAATCTCCGTTGACATTAACGAGGAATGAAGTGCCGCTTGAAATTGACATCGGCAGTCATACACCTCTAATAGAAATAGAAGATCCGGATATAACTGTCACCGCTCCACATAGTCCAGGTGTGGCTGTCCTGCGTGATGACAAATGGACTTCAGTAAGGAGAAAAAGAAATGGGAAGAAAAAAGCTGTGGGCAAAACGCAGCTGGTCAGCAAGGCATTGGAAGGAATGTTATCAGAAGAAAAATCCCCACTGCGTGAAAAGACAGATCTCTCTGAGAGATCTGTCATTTTTCATAAGATAAGAGAATCTTCAGATAAAGAACCAATGGCGAGATTTGAACACGATCTCAATCATATTAAGACATCATTAAGTAAATTGCTCTCAGATACAGTTTCAGGAGTCAGTATTTGTAAGCTTTATAGAACAGGAAAAGAGGTGGGTTCCGAAAGTTCTTAGAAAGACCGCCTCTTGAAAGTTACATTCAACACGGTGAAAGAAAGGAACCTGATTCTAAGTAATTCACGTAAACTGATAGGATCCGGAATAAATGTCCGTGAGGATCTCAGCCTAGCTGATCGTATCAAGAGACGAGCTGCAGAAGTGGAGATAAATGAGCCTCGCCGAAACGGGGAACGAAACCTCGTTCTTAAGGGTTTTCAAGTTGTAAAAGTACGATTCCCAAGCCACTCTGGGAGGGAAAGTTCTCCACAGACTTAAAGGTATGCTACACAAATCCTCGCAGCCTTCTAAATAAAATGGCGGGGCTCAAGTCAGTGGTGGATGAAGAAAAACCGGACGTTATTGCTGTCTCATAAACTTGGTTAACGTCAGAAGTATTAGATAGTGAAATTTAGTTGACTGGTTTCATAACCAAAAGGGCTGATAGAATAAACCGTAGCGGAGGCGGGGTTATTCTGTACACGAAAAGTACTTTAACCATAAGATTAGCTGAGACAGTAGCACATGTTTCAGGGACATGTGAACTGGTAAGATGTAAGTTGAAATACCGACGGCGAGATATTGAAGTATTTGTAGTATATCGCAGTCCAGAATGTGTAGCAGAAGATTTTCCCCTAAGTAAACTTAAGTCCTCGCGTAACAACGGTAAAAGCCTTGTAGTAGGCGACTTTAATGCACCATATATAAACTGGGTTAACTTAGAAGTAGGGTCATCGATATTGTCCTTCGGCTGCAAACTGTTAAAAACCTCGATTGGACTAGCATTATTCCAACACATTAGAGATCCCACAAGATAAGACTTATGAAACTCTTCTTCCCTTTTAGATTTAATCTTCGCATACGGTGATGACGTCGGTCAAATGGCTTTTCTCCCACCACTTGGGAGAAGTGACCATGCAGTCATCTTATTCAAATTCATGGCTGAGATTGCCTGTCAAACAGTTGCGCCTGCCCGTCCTGACATATGGAAGGCAGATATGCAGGCTGAAAACCGGGGAATGGACTCAAAGGCATCAGTACAAGAGGCGTGAACTCTATTCAGGCAGTTATACAATCGAGTAACTCAACCATACATACCCTGGACTGTCCCAAAGAAAAAGAAGCACTGACATCCCTGGATAGGACGGGATATTTGACGTTTACTGAGACAAAAGAAGAAATGCTGGGACGTTGCCATCCGCCTTGGCACAGCAGGTACAATGGAACGCTACAGATCGATAAGAAACGAGCGTATAACGAAAATAATGGGAAGCTCAAATAAAATATGAAATGCAGCTGGCATAATCTGCACTCAAACGGACCATAAAGGCATTTATGGAAACCAATAACTTGCTGAACATGGCACAACATGGTTTTAGAAAGGGTCTATCCTGTACAACGAACCTCCTTATAGCGAGGGAGTTCTGGATTAATGCGCTGGACAACGGAAATTCAGTGGATGTTGTCTACATAGATTTCAGTAAGGTTTTTGACAAGGTGCCAACTAATAGACTGCTAGTGAAGTTGGAAAACCTAGGTACTGCCGGACCTCTTTCAAAATGGATTAAGGATTTCCTAGTAGGTCGTACACAAAAAGTATGAATAAATTCCAAGTGCTCCATCTGGAGACTAGTACTTAGTGAAATACCCCAAGGTTCTGTCCTAGATCCTTTACTTTTTATAATGTACGTTAATTATCTTACAAGTATAGTACAGTCTCCAATGTTATTATACGCTGACGATGTAAAAATTTGGCGAGCAGACACTGTAGACAAAGACGCATTTACTCTGGCTGATGCCTATCAACTCGGAAAAGTGTGTCTACATGCACTTGGGGGATTCAAAGGTTAATACGTACAACAAAGAAGATGTGTCATTACCCGTAGTCCGGTCTCATAAGGACCTCGGGGTGACAGTGAGTTAGGATCTTAATACAACGGCCCATTGCCAGGAGGTCGTGGCTAAGGAGTTTCGAACCCTCTGGGCTTTGAAAGGACATTCATTAAGTTAGATACTACTATGTTCACCACAGTATACACATCCTTAGTGAGAACTAAGCGAGAGAACTGCGTTTAAGAGGTGACTCAGACATACTAGAAAAAGTACAGAGGGCAGCAACTAGTACACTTCCGGAGGGGGATTTGTTATCTCATGGAAACTCATTTAGTGGTAAATAAATCCCCAAAACAATTAGCTTTGTAAGTTTTCGACATTGGATGCTGACCACATTAGCTTTAATGGACTTGTAGTGGCATTGGAACATAACCACACAATCCACAAAGCTGAACACAACACTACTCGGAAAATAGATATTCAATATTTAACACGGAGAAATACCTAACGATGGAGAAGGCGCGAAGAATGAATGGAATGAACTGGAGTTGATCGGATGGCATGACTCGGCCATGCAGGCGTGGTCTCTGCTGAATGTTACCTTATATCTTCTATTCATATTAAATATATTGTTCTTTCTCTAGCCTAACCTTGTTCTACATCATGTATTGGTAATTGATACGATACAGTGAGTTGGTGTAGTCGATGGTGTGACTTCCACGTAAGATCTTATAGATTAGGCAGTTATATTATGACGAATCTACAAATTTAGGATTAGGTCTATTATTAGAGCAGTACTAATATCATAGTAGACCATAATTCAACATTGGTGAGCCCAACTAAAGAAACGCAACCTATTATTGTTAATCCTCATTTCCACCTTAACCTTCTCAATCGGTTTTTATTTGTGTAAATCCATTATTCTAATAGTCCTCTGATTAATGGTCACATATTATCGTAATGTTATATCTATTAGTTCACATAAGTTACTAGCTCAATCGATAATAAAAGTTGATCATCTATATCAACTAATTAGCTTTGATGGTTCGTTAACAAGCTTTAATAGCATTTACATGCTTCAGCGACATAGACTTGTTTAGACATCAAGCTCTAGCAAATATAACCTGTAAATAGCGTAAATATACATTGACTAACAATGCAATCAAGGATTGAATAGTTATCTGGATCTAATTCTTAGTGTTCCTTATCTTAACACCTCATCCTGTTTTAAACTATGCACTATCCTGTAATATCTTTTCTTCCGACCACTGCCTGCCTAATTTCATATTCTCGAGTTCCATTGCCAAACAACAAGGATGACACTTCTCCAAAAACATACGATGGCTCGTTCAATGACAACCACACAATTATCTGGATTCATTCGATTGTTCTGATCCGAGCGACTGGAAAAAACCTCAACAGCATCAAGCACCCTGGAAGTGATTGCCATACTGCATGTTTTATTCTAGATACTTCTGGATCATTACTACTCCTTACGAATGGCGTTATATATGTCGTACACTGAATAATCTAATTTTCAAGAATAACCCAGTCGAGTTCAGTTATTTTACTTAATGATTTTTTTTGTACTTAACATGTATATGTTTTCTAGTTGCTTTTGCCATATTTTTGTAAGTGTCCGTAGGTTAAATGCGGTTCATAACGCATCATATACCTGCCTGAAGTTTCACAAGCAGCCTTAACTTTAAAATTATTTTCTGGTCATCTTCATTATTTTTAAATCGCCATATACGTCAACAACCTGCTTGTTAACCTGGCCCATACATACGCTACACTATATCTTCATGTTTTCTAAATTTAGAAATCATCTGGATCGCCTTTAACATTTATCAATAAACCCATCATAGTCGTTGTTGCTATTCATATTTGGGTTTATGGATTGGTTTATCATGTTAGCAGCCTAAAATGCGAACATAGTTTGGATAATAAGATGAAAGATTTAGGTACTATCAACTGCACTAGTAAAATAACT